CATCCGTATCCAAAGTTATAGCCAAAATACCAAAACGTGTTCTATATTGACCACAATTAGGAAATGTCGTCGATTACTTTCCATTCTTACGTCGATCCGCCAACTCATGGTACGTTAGCGCCATCAACGAGTTATCTGACAACTCAACTTCGTCTGACTCGGACCCTCCTGCATCACACCGACCGTAAAAATAACTACACACGCTCCTACGCCACTAGCGCATGCATATCCATCAGCTGCATAACCGGCGTTGAGTTCCTGTTAAGCTTTGGCTCAGCAATGGATCGAGGATGGTGAGGTTGAAATAACCTGGAACGGAGAAAACATCCTCAATGCCGATTTCTACGAGCCGTGCAATGTGATGGCTGAAGGTGGTGTCTAGGTCGACAATCACGGTTGGGATGTGGGAGTTGACTGTGGAAACAGCGTCGTTGAAGCCTGCAGGCAAGACTCCCAACGTCGGTGCTGTTGAGCTTGCATGTGTCTAGAGTGTTAATTACTGTGTCCATGATTGTGTGTGTGTGAGAAAGAACTGGTAAACGGAGTGTGTATGTGTGTGCGCACATGCATGCATTTGCGTTAGAATAGGATTTTACAATTTAACTTGGCCATAAACTTTTCGTTTTTCTTAGTTTTGAATATTTAAGGTAATTTCTTGAGGAAATGGCTAATAGCCTAGTCAAAATTGCCAAGTCATTCAATAACAATTACAAAATTGAAGAACCGTACATTTGTCAAGATTCAAAAATTACTAAAATAAGTTAAAATTAAAAGATATGAATATCTTTTCAATTGCAGCGCATACATGGATTCGACATTTCTCGTTGTTTGTTATTTTGGTGAGTTTAAAAGAAATGACTAAGGTCTGTAAACGTGAAAATGGATTAGGAGCAATGATATTCATGAGAGTGAACATGAAGCAGTTGATGAAGTTGACTAATATTTTGTATTTCACTTATTAATCAAAGACACCGAATACACGTGCTAAAAATATAATGCAACTCTCTTTTATAAAAATGAATAGAAATCTATTATTTATTCAGTAACATTCAAGATGTTTATGTTTATCTTATTACAGTAAAGTCCTAATACTTTAGTATACATATCACAACACCTTGTAACCTTCATTTTAACCTGTAGTGCTTTGAATTATTCCTCGATAGACAAACGTAACACATTATAAACAAAGTGATCCATTTAGTTGCACATGTGTAATTGATTCAAATTCATGGTAGAAGTTGGGTAAAGCCATTTGTGCAGAAAATGGCTACACCCTGGCTTACAGATGCGTATGTGACGGAAGATGTGCGATTAGATGAAAAGTGTTTTTTGTAGAAGATGGTGCTAAGTATAAATTCGGTAAGCCATAGTGTAAACAAAAATGTACATATGGCATGATTGTTAGAAGATATGCTAACTTCATTGTATTTGACCTCTTCATCTTCTAGGTCAGAGAAAAACAACACTCAAAATGTGTGGATTTTAAAAAAGAGACATTTTTTTCGCTTTGGTTAGCGAGACGAAACAAAACTTAAAGAAAGATTTTCTTAAGCGAAGTCAATGTTATGGTTGAAAAGAATATAAAAAATCTATACAAAGATTTTCTCATCCAAATAGTACTTCAACTGTTCTTACAACGGGGTTAGGAAGGAAAGATACTTATGTGAAATTGTGAGCAGAAAAGCACTTCTCTTTTAAACGTCAAAATTCTACAAATTGCTATATATTTCATGGGCTTGGGTGATTTGAGCTAATTTGATATTTGTTAGACTCGATTACTTTTTTTAAGTTACAAAAATGATCGAGTTTTGTTAGGTTAAGTTTGACACAATTTTTAACACAAATGATCGACGAAATTAGTTGACACATTATTACGCGCATACCCGCGTTTCGAAAATGAACACTGATGTGAATAGATAATAATCAGGGCTAAGTATCTTAGTGGTTGTTCTTTTCATGTTTCAATTCTGAGTTATGAATTCATTTTCAATTTTGTGTTTTGAGTATCTATTTTGAAATTGCTGAAAATACGTTCTTTTTGTCATTCTGGAAAACTATTTCTCAAAATAGAAAACTAGAAAACGCGTTTATTTTGAAATTTTTAGAATCTTTTTTTATAACCTCATCCCATGTTTGACACTCATTCTCTATCTCATTCTCATTCT